CCCCCCCCCCCCCCCCCTAAAAAAGGAACTATTCCGCTCCCGTCGTGTCCACGTTCGAGACATTGGTAGTAAGACAAGTCGTAACAGCTCACTATTCGGGGAAGGGGACTGCTCCGGAATTATGAACCATCATAGTGTAGAGGCTGGCATCTGCTACAATAACATACAAAACTGGTGCAAACAGTAATATTACCGTTGTGGCCACCAAGGATGGACAAATCCACATCACGTGTGGCCTGCTACATCGCATTGCGCGAGAATCCTTTCTAGCCACCCCTAACAGGGTGGGATAAAATCGCATTCACGCCCAGCACCTCTAGGGAACGGACCGTCGCGCCCCCTCCTTTACACCGTCGCCGCCTCGGCTCAAAGGTCCCTCGAGCCATCATCTGTTTTCCGACCGCAACAACACCACCAGCAACATTGAAATCCTGGCCACGTCACCAAAATGAAGTGGGGGCCACCACCACCACACACTTTCTTCCTCTACGGGGCACCCACATGCACGACCTCACGCGGCTTCAACAACTACCATGACTGGAAAAAGAAAAAGAAAAAACTATCCTGAACGACAAGTTTTCGGGCAGCTCTTCGCGAGGGAAAACGACACCAGGCAAGAGGCAATCATGCAGCGATAGGCAGGCAGGAAGGCTCGCGCCCCAAAACAAAACTGGGCACCCTCGGAACAAGAGAATCGGCCCTCTTGCGGAGCCTATATGCCGACACACGTCAAACAATCGAAAAAAAAAAATAAAACAGGGAGAAAATAAATACTCCGGCCGCCGCAGAGCCGAGACACCAAAGCCAACACGTACGCTGAAGAAAACAAACCCGGGTACCTCCCCTCCCAAGGATGACAAGAGCAAACCGTTCGTGCTACCGAGTGTGCTCATTGACGAGGGGGGGGGAACCCACCAAACACAACAGCGACGACGATAAAAACAACCAACCGACAACAACAACAACAACAACAACAACAACAACAACAACAACAACAACAACGTGAAAAAAAACAAAAAAAAACACCGCAACCCTCCCGACTCAAAGGGCCGCACAACCAACGCCAGAAAAAACACGAACAACGACACAGCACTAGTTACACCACCAACAAACAAACATCAAAATACCAAGATCGAAAATATCCCGGGGTGACCACATCGAACCAACTCCCTCAAAAAACAGACGACGAAGATGTGCCGAACACGCACACGAACAAAAGCAAAAAAAAGAAACATACCGTATAAGGAAACGGCGCCAGTCACAGCAAAACAAACGCCGGCTGCTAAGCCTAGCCAAGCGCCAACACGAGCAAACCTCTCCGAGTTGGGAGAGGGCGGGATAATAGAAAACTGTGTGAGTTTCTAGTAACTGCGCACCGCTATGGTGCACATGAATCACATCCACTGATCACAAGAGAACCAACAAGGAGAAAGTGCGGCAATCGATCGGTCAACCAACCACTGCCCAATTAGAGTGAAAATGACGGGACGAAAACAAGAAGAAAAAAAACAAAACAAGAAGAATCCGGGGATTCATGCATATCACAGATCATGGTAAGTCATCGTCACCAAGGACGCACGCTCGAACGAACGGTTACCCTTGACCCTCCACACGCGGAGGCGGCAGAGACGTAACACCCCCTTCCCCCCCCAAAACAAAAAAAAAACGTGGGGGGAGTTCGTGTCTTATCATCATCGGAGAAGCTGCAGAAGGAGATTATCCTCGGCTTCGCGCGCGAGTCGACCTCCTCCCCAGCGCGGGCCCTCCGCTACGAGCAAGTCCGCACCATGAAGACTCCTCTCACGGGCTAAATACGACGCAGTCGCAAAACTCCGCCGCTGCTTCCTTAGCCTTCACAGTCGCCCCCTTATTCCCGACGCCGCTGGCAGAGGTGGCGGTTTGTCGCCCGTCCATCGGTGCGGGGTGCGCGGCAGCGGCGGCATCGGCGGCGGCGGCGGCGCCCCCCCCCCGCACCACCTTGGGCGTCTGGCCGGGGACCGCGGCGAGGCCGCTACCCTCTGACACTGGCCTCCCGCCGCCGGCTTGCCGCCGCATGAACCCTTTCCGTCCCACGTTGCTCCCGCCGCCAACGCCGCGAGGAACCCGCTTACCCTCAACCGCCTTAATCCGGAGAGCTTCTATCCTGGGCGGGACGCAGTCGCTCCCGGGGCTGCGGGACAAGGCTCCCCGCTTCTGCTGCTGCCCCCCGCCTTCGGCTCCGGCTCCGGCTCCGGCTCCGGCTCCGGCTCCGGCTCCGGCGCCGCCAGTCTCCGCGGCGTCGGCGGCAGCGGAGGAGCTGGAGCCGCGCCACTTGCCGACGGTGACCCTGGACAAGGCCGCCACGGCCGAGGACATGCCCCCCCTCTTCTTGCCGGTAGAGCCGCCTCCCCGGGCACGACTGCCGGCGCCGGCGCCGGCGCCGCCGCCATCCGTGGTGTCCTTGTCATCTTCTCCCTCGGGAGCCCAGAACGCCACGTCCGACACGGTCACGTCCGCGCTCACGGTGCCGTCGACGCTGCCGCTGCCGACGTACATGGCCGCCCCGCCCGGCAGACCGACGACCTCGCCGCCGCCTGCGGGGCCCTTGGTGCCGGCAGAGTCATTGCCGCCGGCGGCGGCAAGGTTTAAGTCGTCTTCGCCGCCCTCGTCCGAGCTGCTCGTGTTCTCGCTCAGTGCGCGGTCGAAGTTGGCCATGAACGGCGCCGCTGGGCCGGCGCCGGCGCCACCCCGGAGGTCCATCCTGCCGAGGGGTGCGGCCTCAGCCACCGCCAGCCCCCGACCGTCCCCGCCCCCGCCGTCGTCCTCGCGCGCGCCGCCACCGCCGCCGAGCTTGGCCGGGAGCTGGAGCTCCACGTGCTGCTGCT